TGGCAGACACCTGTAGTTCTAGTTATTTGGGAGACTGAGGCAGGAGGGTCACTTGATCCCAAGAGTTTGAGCTAAACGGCTGCCACAACACTCTAGCCTGGGCAACAGAGTGAGACTCAATCAATCAATCAATCAATCAATAGAATTATTCTGTAGATAAATAATTTAGTTAGATCTTAGTGGAATTTTTTTACATTCGCTTGTAATTTGAAAAATCAGAATTGAAATTGTGAAATAAAGTAGGTTCTTTAAAATTTTTTCCCAGTAAAACAATTACAGCAAAGCTGCTTGGCAGTAATTTTCCAGAGACAATTGGACGAGTCATCTCTTAAGAATATGCTGTTCTTGGCTCGGTGCCTGTGGCTCAAGCGGCTAAGGCGCCAGCCACATACACCTAAGGTGGCGGGTTCGAATCCCCAGCCCGGGCCCACCAAACAACAATGATGGCTGCAACCAAAAAATGGCCGGGCACTGTGGCAGGCGCCTGTGGTCCCAGCTACTTGGGAGGCAGAGGCAGGAGACTCGCTTGAGCCCAGGAGTTGGAGGTTGCTGTGAGCGTGATGCCATGGCACTCTACCCAGGGGGATAGCCTGAGGCTCTGTCTCAAAAAAAAAAAAAAAAGAGAATATGCTGTTCTTACAAAGAACATTTGATCTGAATGCCCTGTGACTGCTGTTAATTTAATATGGTTTGCAGCTAAGCAGCCTATTAAGATCACTGTTAGAGTATTTGCCCATGCTGTCCTTGAAAATACTATCTGTTCTTTGGCTTTATTATAATTTTTTCACATAAGATAGCTATTAAGGTATTACCTGTGGTGATGAGACTAAGAAGTAAAACACAAACTGAGTCATTCATGGTGCTTTAATTTTATGGAAAAAACTAAAAACTGGTCCCTGGTTTAAGAAATAACACAATACTGTAGGTGGACCCAGTGGCTCACACCTGTAATCCCAGTACTTTTTCTTTCTTTCTTTTTTTTTTTTGAGACAGAGTCTCACTTTGTTGCCCTCGATAGAGTGAAGTGGCGTCACAGCTCACAGCAACCTCAAACTCTTGGACTTAAGCAATCCTCTTGCCTCAGCCTCCCAAGTAGCTGGGATTACAGGCACCCATCACAATACTGGCTATTTTGTTGTTGTTGTTGTTGCGGTTGTCATTGTTTGCATGTCTGGGCCTGGTTCAAATCTGCCAACCTGGGTGTATGTGGCTAGCGCCCTACCCATTGAGCTATAGGCACTGCCCAATCCCCGTACTTTTGGAGGCTGAGGCAGGAAGGTCACTTGAGACTAGGAGTTTGAGACCAGCCTGAGCAATAGCAAGACCTCGTCTCAACAAAAAATTTAAAAATTTGCCAAGCATAGTGATGAGTACCTGTAGTTTTACCTACTTGGGAGGCTGAGGCAGGAGGATTGCCTGAACCCAGGAGTTGGAGGCTATACTCAGCTATTCATGCCACTGCACTCTAGCCTGGGCAACAGAGTAAAACTCTGTCTCAAAACTACAAAACAGTATTGTATTACTTACTAGCTTTCCTCTGTCTCAAAAAACATCAAAATAGCAACAACCAACAAACCCTTACTTATGGACTAGAAGCGAAGAATATTGACAATTTCCAACTACTTAGGGACTAGAAATGAAAATGTTGACAATGTTCTTTCTTTTTTTTTTTTTAGACAGAGTCTTACTTGGTTGCTCTGAGTAGAGTGCCGTGGCATCATAGTTCACCAGACTATGAGCCTCAAACTCTTGGACTCAAGAGATTGTTTTGTCTCAACCTCCCAAGTAGCTGGGACTACAGGCTCCCACCACAACACCCAGCTAGTTTTAGAGATAGGGTCTCGCTCTTGCTCAGACTGGACTTGAACTCCTGAGCTCAAGCAATCCACCTGCCTCAGCTTTCCAGAGTACTGGGATTACAGGCGAGAGCCACAGTGCCCAACCTAAATGTTGAGACCATTTTAAACAACTTAATTTTTTTATGGCATATTAGTTTGAAAATGCAAATATTCATGCATGACCCTAATGATAATCTGTAATTGAGCAGGTATAGTGAGATGCTGATCTGTGGTTTTATCTCGGAACCTTCTGTGATAGCATACATTTAAATTCAAGACAAGTAATTAAATAGTTCATTTTATTATTATTATTATTATTATTTGTTGTTGTTGCAATTTGACTGGGGGCGGGTTTGAACCCGCCACCTTTGGTATTGGTATATGGAGCTGGTGCCCTTACCCAGTGAGCCACAGGCACTGCCAAAGTAGTTCATTTTAAATTAATTTGTAACCCTAGAGTTTATTATGAAAAGCAGGTGACTATTTCTTTAAATCCTTTATTAAAAGAATCACAGCTTTTTGGTTACCTTATCTAGATCAACGGTGTCCCATAAAAATAGAATCCAAGCCACATATATAATATTAAATTTTCTAGTAGCTACATTAAAACAAATGGGTATAATTAATTTTAGTAATTTTAGTAATATATTTTATTTAAGCCAGTGTATCAAAATAGTGTTATTTTGACATTGAGATAGTTTACATTCTTCTTTTTCTTTTTTTTTTTTTTTAACTGTGTCTTCAAATCCAGTTTGTATTTTATAGTTCCAGCATATCTCTGTTTTTTTTT